TTGTAAGACAGTCCTGACGTGGTGAACGTGTTGCTCCTCATCCCGTGTGTAGATCAATATGTCATCCAGATACACAAATACAAAAATGTTCAAAAAGTCTCTTAAAATGTCATTAACCAGTGTCTGAAAAATTGCCGGGGCATTGGTGAGACCAAATGGCATGACTAGGTACTCAAAGTGTCCCAGTGGTGTCTTAAATGCCGTCTTCCACTCATCAGCTTCCTTGATTCGGACGAGGTGATGGGCGTTACGCAGATCTAATTTGGAGAATATCTTGGCAGAGTGTAGTTGTTCATGGATAGAGTCTATTAGGGGTAAGGGATATTTGTTTTTAATCGTGATCTGATTTAATCCACTGTAGTCTATGCAGGGACGTAAAGTCTTGTCTTTCTTAGCCACAAAGAAAAATCCTGCACCAACAGGAGAGGTGGAGGGACAAATTATTCCAGAGTTCAATGATTCAGAGATATATTCTTTCAAGGAGTCACATTCTGGACCAGACAAATTGTAAAGGCGGCTAGAAGGAAGAGGAGCCCCTGGTAGTAAATCAATAGCACAGTCATAAGGACGGTGCGATGGTAATGACAGGGCCTTTTGTTTACTAAATGCAGGGGCAAGGTCATGGTAAACACTAGGAATTTTAGACAAATCGACTGGATCGGGTGCCTCAGGATGTTTAATAGTGGAAGGAACAGCAGTTCTTAAACAGTTCATTAAACAGTGTGGGCTCCACTGTTCTATTCTTTTAACCCTCCAATTAATTATGGGGTTGTGATCTTTAAGCCAAGGAAAACCCAAGACAAGCTGTGTAACGGGTGACTCGAATACAAAGAACTCACTGTGTTCATGATGGTTCCCGGAGATCATGAGGTGTACTGGTACAGTCTTTTTAAACACTGAAGCGAACTTTTGACCTGTTAGCCCAGCCATTGTCAGTGGCGTGGGGAGAAGTTGTGTGGGGATGGATAGAAGCTCCACCAAGTCCTGGCTAATGAGGTTCTGCTCTGCCCCAGAATCCACTAGAGCAACAACTGATTTACTTTCTCTATCAACGATAATGGTGGTGTTGAGTTCCAAGCGGGAGGCAGGAGAAGAAGAAGAGTTTCTCACCAATATCTCCTGCTTTATTGGTGAGAGGGGCCGTTTCCCAAGAGCGGGCAACGAGCAATGAAATGTCCTTGTTCACCACAATAGATACAAGCTTTATTGTTTATTCTTCTTCGTCTCTCTTCTGGAGAGAGGCGAGTGCGACCCAGCTGCATAGGTTCTGGTTCTGAGTCAGGTTTGTATTCTAACATTAATGCAGGTGGCTGTCTCGGTGTGGAGTGACAACCGGAAGCAGTGGAACTCTGGGAAATGTAATCTTTTCTATTGTAAACAGTTCGACGTTTTGATGTAGAGGGAAAACCGGAAGTAGGCGGGTTCTGGGAATCGTAGTCTTTCTCCCACCTTCGTTCTTGTAGTTGATTGTCAATACGTGTGGCTAACTGAATTAGCTCGTCCAAACTTCATGGTTCCTCTAATGCTGCTAAGTGGTCTCTTATGGAGTTGGAAAGAGAGTGTAGGAAGGTACCTCTGAGTGCGACCTCTCCCCATCCGGTTCGGGCGGCGGTGATTCTGAACTCCAGAGCATGAGCCGTAACGGAGCGTCTGCCTTGACGAAGGGTGAGTAGACGTTTTACTGCTTCAGCTCGTTGGAGGGGTTGATTGAACACGCGCTTGAATTCTTCTAGAAGTGAGGCAAAGCTTAAGGTACTGACAGGGTGAGAGGATAAATGAGCATGAGCCCAACGTAATGCGTCCCCCTTTAACTGAGTGATGAAAAATGAAATCTTGGCAGCATCTGAAGAGTAAAGACTGGGTGCTCTCTGAAACGTTAACTCGCACTGGAGTACAAAACCCCCACACATCTCAGGCTCTCCAC